ACGTGGGACTGGTTTCCAGGATTCTGGGATCAAGACTTGAGCTGAAGGCAGACGCTTAACTGACTGAGCCACCCAGGGGCTCAAGTGTTAAAAAGTAAATACAAATATGCATTGTGAAATCACTACCACAGTTGAGCTAATGAACATATACCTCCCCTCACATAGCTAAGATTTGCGATTTGCGTGTGCACTGAGAACACTTAAGATGTTCTCTCTAGCAAATCTTAAGTATACAATACATTTAGCCAATGTTTAAAAAGATCTAGCAAATCTTAAGTATACAATACACTACTGTTTAGTTTCACTCCTAACTCAGGAAATGAACAGGTAAGCCCTGGTGCACTGCCTGGGCCAAGGGCTCTGGCCAAGGGAATGAATCCCTAGGGGACTGGACAAAGATGAAAGGATAGTTCCTGGCTGCATTTGCCCACACTTTTAATGAAAAAAACTCCTATAAGCTCATCACAAAAGATGCCAAGAACTCAAGAGACAAGGGATTGGAACAGCAAAGGGGAGAAATTTATTTTGGGGAGAGTACATAGACTCAAGCCTTAATAACCAATCTCCCTACCAATGGGATGGACACCTAGTGTTTTCTAGGGAGAGGTTCGGGGTGGGGGGCACATGCCAGAGAGCAGGCAGGGAACACATGATCGTGTGTGGAGATTGGTACATGTTCAGTGCACCACCAGGAGCAGGGAAGGTCCAGAGAAGGGGATGAGGTCTTACAGGCACTCTGTTGCTCTTAGGGTTTTTCTGGTCTGGCAATTGGAATGTTCTGGTCAAACATCTTCATCAACGCCTAAAATAATGTGATAAAAAGTGAGAACGATGGGTTTCACAGCACGAATCAAGCAGTCTTCTTGTCTATTTCTGGTTTTAACGCCTGGGGTCTACGGTTGAATAAGAAGGTTAGTTGGCAGACCTTCAGTAATTATTTATCTTCCCTAAGTGAATCTTTTTACCATTTGACTAGTATGTAGCATTTCCCTCAACTTCTGCCCCTGACAACAAACATGCTAATCTTCACATTTATGATTTTGATTTTTTATGGATTCCACATATATGTGGATTATATGTGATTATATACAGAATTGATTTATTCTTGTGTGTGGCTTATTTAACTTGGCAAAATGTCCTCTGAGAACATCCTGTTGCAAATGGAAATATTTCCTTCACTTTTAAGGCTGAAATAGATACACACACACACACACACACACACACACACATTACTTTTTTCTCTCTCTTTTTTTTTAAGCTTTTATTTATTTATTTGACAGAGAGAGATCACAAGTAGGCAGAGAAGGGGAAGCAGGCTTCCTGCCAAGCAGGGAGCCTGATGTAGGGCTCCATCCCAGACCCCTGAGATCATGACCTGAGCTAAAGGCAGAGGCCTAACCCCACTGAACCACCCAGGTGCCCCTTTTCTTTTCTTTTTTTTAAAGTAGTCTACATGCCCAGCATGGAGTCCAGTGCAGGGCTTGAACTCATATCACTGCGATCAAGAATCAAATGCTTAACCCACTGAGCCACTTTTCTTCACTCATTTGGGAGAGAATATGTGATGTCAAAATAAATCACTTTGCATGTGGGTTGTTTTGAGTTGAAGGCAATTATGACCCAGCAGACTCAGGAAATAGAATTTTGCCTCTCATTTAACCGCCAAAAGAAATTAGATAGGGGACCTTAATCTGGAAGAGAGCTAATACTAGAGTTAATTTTTTTTTTTTGAGAAAGATTCATCTGCCTGTTGTGGAAAACATTTGCCAACATTTGCTCTTTCCTTTTTCCTGTGAATATACTTCCCCCTTTTTGAAATTCTAAATTCTAAATTCTACCCCCTTCTCCTTAGGTCAGAATGGCATATGAACATCATTTGCTTGTCTTTGAGTCTATAATATTTTTGAGGTTCTTATAATGAAGAAATTAAATTTGTTTTTCTCCTGTGAATAATCTGTATAATGTCAGTTTAATTATTACACCAGCCAAAGAATCTAGAAGGAAAGAGTTTTCCTCTTATACACATTCAGTAGGATAGTCAGTAGGACAACTGTAGTAAGACCACTTCATATTTTATAGTGAGAAACCAGTTACTCTTATCTAGAATGGCTAACACAGAGACAAAAAGGATAACGTCAAATTTCAGTGGAAATGTTGAGCAGTTAGAATTCTCATATATTGCTGATAGGAGTGTTAAAAGTGCATTCACTTTGGAAAACTGGCGGTTACTCATGAGAATAAACATTTACCTACTAAAGGGTGATGTAGAAAACATGTTGGGGTTCAGAGCCCACGGCCAAGAAAGAATTCTTGAGTCATCTTTGGTGAAAAAAAGGTGGTTTTATTGCTATTTTTATTAATGGGACAGGACCTCTGGGCAGAAAGAGGTGAACTGGGGTCATGAGGAGAGGCCGATTACATACTTTCAAGTGGGGAAGAGGTTAGGGATAATGTAAGTCTCTAAGGAATTTTGGAAGAGAGATTTCAAGGATCTTGAGGGGATAAGTAAAGTCATTTATTACTATCCAATAAGACTTTAGTCATGAGACCCTTCAGATGCGTATCAGTGGGCCATATGCTTGGAGGATGATTGCCAACATGTATCTTGGGGGGTAGATATAACAGAAATTTCCAAAAAAATTTTTATATGCTGAAGCAGACTTACAGGATCCTGGGGTGGGGGTGGGGGATGTTTGGGGTAATGTTAAGCTAAGATTGCCTTTTGCCCTTAGCAAAGTATTAACATCAAGGCCGCTGAGCTTCACTCTACCTGTTTTAAGGACTTGTCAATGGGCTGTAGGAAGTAAGGATATTTAACTTTCTTCCTGCTTTTTCTTCCACATCAAGAGGAGTATTTTGTCACCCCAAAATATGTCTTTTTTGGAAAAAGGATCATTTTACTTTATTTCTTTAAGATTTCATTTGTTTATTGGACAGAGAGAAACACAGCAAGAGAGGGAACATAAGCAGGGGCAGTGAGAGGGAGAAGCAGGCTCCTCATCCAGCAGGAAGCCAGGTAGGGTCTAGATCCCATGACCTGGGCTCATGACCCAGTCCAAAGACTGAGCCACCAGGCGCCCCTAAAAGGATGATCTTAGACTGGTTATTTTAAAGATGCGGCAGATGAAGGTGTCTGGTCACCTCCCCAAATGCTTTCCAACGGGATCAGGTGGGGAGTTTAAAAAATGGTCGGTATCTGCTGCCCTCCCATTCAGGTTCTGTCCGTTGGTTTGGGTGAAAACAACAGTGTTGTGTTAATTACGGGCTCCAGGGGATCCCAAGTGAGGCCAGGGGTAAGCAAGAGGGCTTCCCATTATTTTATGGCCAAGCGCAGGCGCTGGGTCACGGTAAGAGGGAGCCTGCTGCACACAGTTCCGACGCTGTAGAGCGCGTGGGCGTCGGGGCGGGGGGAGGCCCCCTGAAAGTGTTGCTGGGTGGACGGGGTGGGGATGGGAGGAGACCCTGGGGTCCCGATCCAGCCCATCCCAAATATGTTGCTCAAGTGTCGCAAGAAAGAATTCGGGGCCATGCAGGGCCCAGCAAATGAGGGACACAAACAGGAAAGTTGACCCACACCAAGTACACTCTCAAGATGGGGGAGCAGGAGATCCCCAGGGAGCGCGCGGCTAGCCCAGGGCTTCGGGTTTCCCCGTGTGAGTGACAGCTGTGGACCAGGGGGAGGACTAGTCAGGACTCGGGGTGGGAATCGGTGGAAAGCGGGGTTTCCGCGCCTTTTCTTCCTTATTTGGTCAGGCGCTTCCGGTCATGGCACCCGCCATCTTGGGCCCGGCTGGTTTGCTCCGGCTTCTGGGGGCCCGGGGCCCGGACGGGCTTGTGACTCGGCTGCCGGGCGGCCGCGGTGCCCGCCGCGCCCTTGCGCAGGCGTCCGGGGAGCACGGGGCTGCCCGCCACCTCTGAGGCGGGCGCGGACGGAGCGGCTCCGGGCCGGTCTCCGCAGAGCCGCTCATTGTTTCCGCGAGGCTCCCACACAAAGGACCAGGAAGTGCGGCCTTTCCTGCATTTCGCGGTCCCGCCGGCAGGCGAGCGGCGGCGCGGGGAAGCGGCTCCGCGGCGGCTCTGAGGGCACGTCCCCCGACGCGGCTGGGGCTGCGCCTCGACGCTCCTCGGAGAAGGACCTCCAGAGCCCGAGGGGAAGGACGGCGCGATGGCTGAGGCTCAGGTAAGCGTAGCGTCCCCTGTCACCTGTGCCCCCGAAAGTCCCCGCAGGGAAAAGCTGCGGGTGCGGGTCCCGCTAGGACGCCGTTCCTGCCCTCCAGGAGTGTGCGGCGGTTTTCGTGACACCTTTTTATAAAGGATTCTGAGGCGGGGGCACCTGGGTGGCTCCGTGGGTTAAAGACTCTGCCATCCGCTCAGGTCATGATCTCGGGGTCCTGGGATCGAGCCCCGCATCGGGCTCTCTGCTCAGCGGGGAGCCTGCTTCCCTTCCTCTCTCTCTCTGCCTGCCTCTCTGTCTACTTGTGATCTCTGTCAAATAAATACATAAAATCTTGGAAAAAAAAAAAAAAAAAAGGATCCGGAGGGGCGCCGTGGGCTCAGTCCATAAGGCCTCGGACTCTTGTGGGACCTCGGGGTGGCCTGGGGCTCCCGGGGGTGTCTGCTTCCCCCCTCCCTCTGCTCCCCTGCCCCCGAGCGCGTGCGCACTCTCTCTCCGCCTCTCTCCCTCTCTCTCCGATAAAATACCTAAAACCCTTTTCTTAGAGGACTCGGACATGCAGCTCTTTAGGACGCTGGCGGGTGTTCCCTCTCCCTCCCGTGACCCGGCTCCCAGTAGCACGGGAACAATGGTCAGTGCGAATCGTGTCGTGCCCCGCTCAGAAATGTCCCTGCGGGACGGTTCGTGTGAAGATCGCTGTCGTGGACGTGGTCGCGTCCTGGGGTGTCATTTCAGGTTAGGTCCCCGCCGGATCCCTGAGCGGCTGCGGGCCCACCGGGGTTAAAAAAAAGCGCAAGTCAGCAGGATGCACCGTGTCCCCCGGTAACTCCCAGGTTCCGGAAGACAGACAGCCCTGCCGTTTGGAGTGGGACAGAAGGATGCTCTGTGTAGAATGCACCAGAAGGGCGCCTGGGTGGCTCAGTCGGTTCAGTGCCCGGCGTTTGATTTCGGCTCGGGTCGTGATCTCAGTTCAGGGTCGTGGGACTGAGCCCAGCGCCTGTCGCCCACGCTCAGCGGGGAGTCTGCTTGAGATTCTTGCCCTCTGCCCCTCCCCCGCTCGGGCTTTCTCTCTCTCTCTCTCTCTCTCTCTCTCAAATCTTAAAAAAAAAAAATTACGCTGGACATTACAGGACGTGGGCGCTACATGTGGCTTGTAATTTGTATAAACCCACTGTTTTCTCATAATTAGATTGGTAATTCTGATTTACTGCTCCGATTTCCTTTTGGGGGCCGTTATGGTATGTCCTTCTCTGCGCTGCGGGCACTGACACCAATTTGCTTCCCTGCAGCTGATGCTAACTTCTTCCACTTGGCTTGGTGCCCGCTGTGTAATGTCTTCGTCGTCCGTACGGGCTGGATGGCTTTACTGAAAGCTGTGCGGGAGCCATCGCATTCAAACCGGAAGCCCCCTCCTCTGAGTTTCTCTTTGCTTGTAGTTTCCATTGGAAAACGAAGGCTCCCTCCTTTGTGCGCTGGAGATGCTGACTCCTGGGAGTGGTGTTTGTAAATAATTCAGGCCCTTGTCCTGCAGATTTCTGTTTTACTCCACACCCGTGTGTCAGACATACTCTCTCTATTTCAGAAAAAGAAACCCAGAATCACGTAATTAACATGTTCGAGTATCTTAAAATTGTAAAACCTAACATAGCGTAAATGATGATTGGAAGAAAATTTTCAGTGAAATACTAGACCCAGAAAGGTTAGAGGTTTTCTTTTTTTCCCCAAATGTTTATTTAAATCCTAGTTAATATACATATAGAATGTAAAGCTGTTTTCAGAGCTTTTTGTGTTTGTCTTTGTAGTGTGATTAAAAGACAGAAGCGGCATCATCCGCACAGGGATATTTATAAGTTTTATGTCATTGAAAATGTTTCTTCAGTGTGTATATAATTGCTTTTTACATGTGTGGAGGTGTGCATAAAATGTAAAAAAGGTACATCGATTTTGTGTCGATACCTTCTGGTTTCCATCACTCTTCTCAGATTGCTGCAGGCTTGTCTCTGTATACTGTTCTGTCCTTTTAGATCAATTCTAGATCAGACAACCTGGGTTAAAAGCTAATCCCTTCCATGTACTGGATGTTTGTCAAAATATTCTCATAAAAAGAAGAATATGTTCTGTTAGATTATTACTTACTTGTGCATTAATTTAGGAAAAATCATTAGAATGCTATTTAGTAACCAGTAAATGCTCAAAAAAGTATTGTTGTGCTGTTCTTGCTAATATAGTAGAACCTGTAATTGTTATAAAATGCCTTCAGTTCTAAGTCCTCCAAAAATCCTGAGTTCTACCTCTGTTATTTATTTATTTATTTTAAAGGTATCCCTTGGCCCATAGGCTACGATCTTCTGTTAGAAATTCAGGCTCCGATCCTACTCCAGAAGTCTGGAACAGAGTCTGCATTTTCACAGTATCTACAGTTCAGTGTTGTGAAATTCCAACTCACACTAGAATCTGATAAGTACGTTTGTAATCCACCAGTACTTTCCACCTAAGAAATGGACACGACTTATATCGTTATATATATATTATATGATATAAATGCAGTTCTCGGTAACGTATATGCCTGTGTCGATGCGTTCATTTGACAAGCAATCTTGGGTAAACACAATATTTATAATGGTTTGGGGTTCATATGCCATCCTCTTACCTCAGAGCTAGAGAATGCATGTGAGAACATTGGTGTATTAAAAGTTATCTTCTGGGGGCAGCTTGGTGGCCCAGATGGTTAAACATCTGCCTTGGGCTCAGGTCATGATCTCCAGGTCCTGGGATAGAGCCCCACTGCAGGCTCCCAGCTCAGCAGGGAGCCTGCTTCCTCCCTCACCCTCCACTTCTCCCCCTGCTTGTGTTGTCTTTGTGTGTGTGTGTCTCAAATGAATAAATAAGATCTTTAAAAAAATTATCTTACGGATATAGCAGGAAACACACCTAAGCAAGAACCCGTTCTCTTTAATGTAAGCGAATGAACACGAGTTCATGCCCTGGTGAGTCATAGATAGAAGCATACCAGGTAAAGGTGTGACACAAAGGAAATTTTATTTGCAGCAAACAAGGAGTTTATCAGAAATAATTTCCGAAGCCTTGACTCCCTAAGCAAGGGTGAGTGGGTTCCTTTTACTTAGGGTTAGGATGAATATTTAGAAAGAGGAGCCTTGCCGTTCTTGTGGAGCCGGGCATTAGGTCGTGCACATGCCTTAAGAAAACTGGTGTGTACATAGTTTGGGTGTTACATAAATGAGCGGAGGTTTAGTTGTAGCATGAGGTAAACGTAACTGTCGGTCACCCCATGGTCCATGTGCAGGTGTGATTTGGAGGTTAAGCTCAAACTGGTCTGGGCCACTGGAGCCTTTGTCAGAGCAGTCCTTACTGCTTGAGGAAGTTTCCATTATGGGGGGCTGTGCCCATCAGGTCTTTTGCTTGAGTCGAAGGATAAGCTGGGAAGAAGAGCTTAAGGAAAATGGGGGACACAGCTCTCTGGGTACAGGCAGGTGGGCAGTAATGGTCCAGTTTTGGGGTGTAGCTGGGACAAATCCCTCCTCTGGTTTTACTCTCCTCATTCTTGAGCGGCTCAAGGAAAAGGTTCATCTTCTGGAGCTACTTTCCTGCTAGACGTGGGCATATCATAAGGACTGACTGCGGTGCAGAATTTCTCCTCAGCTGGTTTTAGATATGCTTGTGGGTCCCCAGGTTTAACCCCAAGCTGCTCATATCTACCATTTGTAATTTTATAGCCTTTGTGTGTTTTGACAGAAGTCATGCCAAGCAGTGAAAGCATGCAGGGTCCAAATAGCAGTAAGAGCAGTTTGGTTAGTTTCTCTTTTTATAGTCATACTGACATTTACTAGGGGAATTTATTCCTCAGGGATGGCCCACTGTGTGTATAGCTTTTAGCATCTCTAGAATAATAGTGATAAATAAAATTAAGAAGGTGTTCTTTGTGGGGCGCCTGGGTGGCTTAGTTGGTTAAGTGCCTGGCTCTCAATTTTGGTTCAGGTCATGATCTCAGGGTTGTGGGACCAAGTCCAGTGGCTGGCTCCCACGCTCCCTGGGGAGTGTGCTTGAGATTCTTTCCCAGTGCCCCTCCCCCTGCTCACACTCACTCTTCTTCCCTTTCTCTCTCTAAAATAAATAAGTCTTTAAAAAAAAAACCCGAACAAATAAAATACACTAGACATCACAGGACATGGGTGCTACGTACAGCTTATAATTTTTACAAATCCACTGTTTCCTGGGCAGAGATCAAGCTCTGTGCGCTCAGTGCAGTCTGCTCAGACTCCGTTCCTCCTCCCCCACCCTCATTTGCTCACTCACTCATAAATAAATAAATAAAATCTGTTAATCTGTTAAAGGGGCCTGGCAGCAAACAATAAGGCTAACGAAACCAGAACAGCGGAACTAGTGTCCTACACATAGAGATTGTTATGGTTTCGTTTGAGAGCCCTTACGGACGGAGGCTCTCCTGACCTTCTGAGGCTCAGGTCAGTGAATGGCTCACAGGAATGTTGTTAACTGGTGCTAGTAGCGTCTCCCTCGGGCCTTTGCGTAGAGGCCTGTTTCACTCTGCTGGGGTGGATTCAAGGTAGGACGCCCTCTAATTTGAAGGAAGAGCATGTGCTTAGTAGCACTGGGTGGGGCCCTATCTGAATAGAGTAGAGTTGATCCGGGGGTGACCCATTTTTCCCAGTTTGGAGGTACATCGGTCCCCAGTTTCATTTGGGTGAAGCTTAGTTTCAGTGGATAGAGGAAGGAAAAATTTCCTTCCCTGTTGCGTGCATCCTTCACCTGTAAGATTATTTATATGCTTAATGGCCTGAGAAGCCTGTGGGTCTGGAGATGAGAAGGAGAGCATTTTGGAAAGCCCTCCCATTGGGGGCCAAGATTTTAGTTTGCCCTTTGGGGTAGCTCTCCCTCTGGTGAGAGCTATTGGTGGTAACTTCAACCAGTGTTCTTGTTTCCTGGCACAACCTCACCAGAGTGTTTTAGGGTTCTGCTTGCCCATTCTGTCTTCCAAGAAGACTGAGGCTCCAGGCAGAGTATAACCTCCACTTGATAACTCAGAAATGGTTTTGAATATAAAGGCTGGTCCATTGTCATTCTGGATTGACATTGGCAACTGAAATTGAGGGATTTTTCTCACCTTTACTAAAGCTCTTGTTACTTCGTTCTTTCTGTGTCTCAGGGAAAGGCCTTAGTGTCGTTTCCCCCCCCACCCAACCCCGTAAATGTATCTACAAACACCAGGGGCCGTTGGCATTACAGTAAAGTCTGTTCACCAGTCCTTCCCTGGCACTGGCCAAGGACAGGTCTATTTTAGTTAAACCAACAAGCTTAAACTTTAATTTACAAAGATAATCCCAGATACATGGATGTGAAAAAAATTTGGGTTACTTCATATTTTTGTGGATTTTAGAATGCCTTTTTTTTTTTTTTTTTTAAAGCATTTGTCTTTTAACCAGCTAAATACAACTCTTACCTGTTCCAGGGGCATGCTTCCAGTGACCCAGGGAGTTGCTGCCTCTTTTTTCTCAGGTTTATAAGGGAAGGAGGAAGTGCTCAAGGACCAAGCAGCCAGGGGGGACATTTAAACTGGGAACAACAATCAGACCAGCCAGCCAGGTGGGATGGAGGTTTCAGTTTCACAGACCTTACACTAGTCTCTGTTAGGTCACTCCCATTTTGCTAGGTTAGATCATCCAAAGCCTGTGAAAAGGCTGGGTCCTGTGATCTTCTGTCATCAGGGATGTCTAGACTCATGCTGAATGAGTAATTAGTTCCCTCAGAATACTCTGACCTAATACTATGCTGGCTTGTTCAGACTCTGTGAAACAATTCTAGTTTACCTCTCAAAGCTGTGCCACAGGGGCGCCTGGGGGGCTCAGTCATTAAGCATCTGCCTTTGGCTCAGGTCATGATCCCAGTGTCCTGGGATGGAGCCCCACGTCAGGCTCCCTGC